ATTATATTATATTTATATACAAATAATAACATAAACTCTTAATAAAAATATATATAATATAACGTTATAATAAATATATATAAGATAAGATAAACACACCTTAATAAATAATTTTTAAGAAAAAAAAAATTAAGTACTTGCATTTGCCCAATTGATATAAAGTCCTCTAATGGGCTTAAAACCAAAAAATTTATGTAAAGCATATAAGAATTTGTGTTCGTTCAATGTTATATATATATATATATATATATATATTAAAGTAGACAATGTTGTATATATATATATATATAAAGCATCCAAGAATTAAGAATATGGTATTGGGAATATTGTAAAGCAAATCTTAAAGCCACAACCTAACCACATACACACCATGAAATTCCATACTCCTTTAAAATATATTTGTAATTTCTTAATGCGTGCGTATAAAAATTTAAATATATTTTTAACTTATTAAATAAATTAATTAGATTTTTTAAAAAATAAACCTAATTATTAATGAAATTAATAATACGAATAAAATTAATTTAATTATACTCAAAATATATTTATTACCATGAATTTTTACTTTTTATAAAATAATTACAGTATAAAATGTAAACAAAAAATATTTTTAATATATATGTATATATATTGCATGTCAGTAGCACTTGCCTTTCATGACCAGCGAAAAGAATAACAGACCGAAACGGCGAGCTATACTGATCAAGCACGTGTACCAAAACGGCAGTTATCTATCGTTAAATTCCCAAACTACCCTCAAAACCAATGGACCAATTACCCTTCCCCGGCGGAGACTCCGAGGCCTGTATACAGCGAAAAGACGGTATTGCCCTTTTATATTTCGTATTTATACTAAACAGAGTAAGTGTCCGCTCGTCGCACCAGCACTGAAAGTGAGAGACAGACAAGAAGAGTTAGGTCTAACCAACAAAGCCAATGGCTCCTTCCTTCGTGATCAACGGTGGTATCTCCGCCGGCGGGACAGCCAACGGAGCGTCGACCGGACGCGTGGCGTCGGTCTACAGTGAAGTGCAGACAAGCCGTATTGATCATACGCTTCCTGTCCCTTCCGTTCTCAAGAACTCTTTCAAGATCGTCGATGGCCCTGCTAGCTCCGCTGCCGGAAATCCAGGTCAGTTGCGTGGTTTTGCTTTTCGTTTTCTGATCCGTTGAGATTCATTTGTTACTTCTTCTAATCCGTTAGAAATGATGGATTCTGTTTTGTTGCTGAGGAAATCCGTGATGCATGCAGTGAAAATGATGAACGAACTTAAGATCTGTGTTATTTGGTTTTTAGTTTGTTGAGGAGCTTGATTTGTGTTCAGAAGTAGTATTTAGCTCAGTGAAATGGAGTAGAAGTTCTTCCTTACATTCCAGATATAGACCTTGACATTTTTGTCTGGATAAGTGACTTTTTGACTAGTTGCATTTTTTGCATTTTTGTCTCTAGATCGAACAGATTATTGTATTCGTTTTGAATTTATTTTTATTTTTAGATATTTTGCCTCTTGGACTTAAGAGGATATGATTGTGTTTTGGTCGTTGCAGAGGAGATCGCTAAGCTCTTTCCTCATCTATTTGGGCAACCGCCGGCAATGTTGGTTCCAAATGAATCCGATTCCCTCCCATCAGATCAGAAACTGAAAATCGGTGTTGTTTTGTCTGGCGGACAGGCTCCTGGCGGACACAATGTTATATCTGGAATCTTTGGTGAGAATCTAATGAGCATGTCATTTTACTGGAAATTTTTAATTTCTTCTTCTCTTTAATGGAACTAATTTGAGTATTATTTGTATTTCGGCTGATAGACTACTTGCAGGACCGAGTCAAGGGCAGCACATTGTATGGTTTCAGAGGCGGTCCCGCTGGGATCATGAAGTGTAAATACGTTGAGCTTACTGCTGATTATATTTACCCATACAGAAATCAGGTATGAACTATAAAGCCTGTCAAGTTTGAGTTGTAGTTTTTATATGAGCGTCTAAAATCTAGGTTGCTATTAGCTTAATTCATCAGGGTAACTAAGTGTTTTCTAAGTTTACATGTCAGTTTATCCAAATGTCTGCTTGCGATACCTGCATGTGAGTTCTTTGTGGACATTAAGTTTTCCCATAGCTAACAAGGCAGTTTTATGTGTAATTCAAAATTACAATGGGAAAAGGGTAGGCCTAATACTTCACATGTACATGGAGTTGGCATGTGAATCAGCCGCTATCGCAGGTATAGCTATTCGTTTTGCATGCAGGAAGTGAAACCATTGTGGTGCCGTGACTTCAATCTGTTCCTTTTCAGGGTGGTTTTGATATGATCTGTAGTGGGAGAGACAAGATTGAAACTCCTGAGCAGGTGAGAATCTCATTTATGTAGTTTTATATGAAATACTCCCGCCATGTTTGGATTGAGGCTAGAGAAAGGAAAGAAAATATCCTTTAATCTCATTAAGAGGAGAGAAAAGAGGAAGGAGCTCTTATTTTCCTTGAACATTCCATTTTTATAGATTCCCAAATTGGGAGGAAATAAGAAAGGAAAGGGTTAAAATTTTAGAGAGAAATTATCTTGTTCTAAGTTTTAGATCTCCCCTTTTTTTCTTTATTTTCTTCTTTTAAATATAAATGTTGTTTTCTTCCAAATATATGTTATCAAGTTTATACTAGCAAAACTGAATGAGTACTTGATATGCAGTTTAAGCAAGCTGAAGAAACAGCAAAGAAACTTGATTTGGATGGACTTGTGGTTATTGGTGGTGATGACTCAAATACAAATGCTTGCCTTCTTGCTGAAAACTTCCGGTATATCATAGTTGAGATATACATTTAAATTAGATGAAAATTGTGACTGAAGTTATAGTTATCTGCTTACTTCATATCTATTTATGTTGCTTGTGAAATGCGCCTCTTCTATCCCTCTCTCTCTGTTTTTTTCTTCTCGAGTAAAAAGAAAATCTATTAAAGAAAGGCATCAAGGGAGTGCCACCCCTGTGTAATAAGTTCTCAGTAGGGTCTAAACACAAGAAACCAAACAGGTCAACAATATCAGCCTCGTGACCAATAGGGTGATTCTTATGAAAAAGGGGTCCAATAATCTGGACCAGACTCATGAGATGAGGAAGGATTCTTAAAAAATTCTTTGATTTATGTTCAAGCTCTTCTCTTTCTCTTCTACACCTCATATACTTCTATATGGTTCAAACTTTTGGCTTGGAGGTAGTAGTAAAAGCTTATTTGGAATCCTTATTTTAATTGTAATCTTCAATTATTTGTATATGATCTACCAGGAGTAAAAACTTGAAAACTCGTGTGATTGGATGCCCCAAGACTATTGATGGTGATTTGAAATGTAAAGAGGTTCCCACGAGTTTTGGATTTGATACTGCTTGCAAGGTGATTTTAGTTCTAATTTCACCATTTCTGTTTCCACTATACAATTTTATGCAACAATCATGTGAGACATTCCCAGCATGTATGGTAAAGATTCTTATTGCGGCACCATTTTTCTGTCATTTCTGTGACAAACATGGTATGAATGTAGATTTTTGTCAATCTTTTTATTACTTGAGGAATATTTAATAAGTTTACTGTTTGTTCTTTTATAATGCAGATATATGCAGAAATGATTGGAAATGTCATGACTGATGCACGGTCAACAGGAAAATATTATCACTGTAAGTATTTGAGATTTGAAACTTCCTGAAACTCAAATAACTGTTTACTCTGTAAGTTTCATTGAGCTTTATGCTGAGATAGACAATGGTAGTTAGATTCACCTTATTTCAAAAACTTAATGGCATTTGTTCTAAACAACCTTTACCAGTCTATTCCACAATGTACTACTACTATCACGATTAGGATTAAAGTTTCTTATTGTACTTCACATTATTAGAATATTCCAACTTCCATGTTCTATACTTCTCCATACCTTGTTAAAGCTGTATTACCAAGGATTACTTCTCAAAATCTTTTATAGAGGAAAACAGCAATAGAGGTGAGAACAAGCGGAGCTAACATTGAAGATACCACAGAGAGAGAACAGGAGGAAGAGAGAATAAAGACCATAGTAAATAATTCTTGATTGAATTCTCTCTATTAGAGTCTAGACTAGTAGCCTTTTCATAAGCACCAATAACAATCAAAATAAGAAATTATCATAAAAATAAGAAATTGAAAGTTCCTAGACCTTAATAAGCTTCTAAGCTGACTGTATTTCCTAAGTAGCCAAAAATAATTTAACACTAAAATATCTTATCAATTACAAAATAATTTCCTTATTGCTAAAAATAATCTATTCTAAGACCATCTCATTCTGCATCAGCCACCCATTTATTCTAACACTTCTGTTACAACTGTCTGCTGTCTGGTACTTTCGAGCATCATTTGTCACATAGCTTCATAATACTTTCTCCCTTCCATTGCATTATTCTTATTCCAATTATGGACATGAACGAAGTCTCTAACTATACGTCACATTAGGTTCACTTTTTTCAAATTTTTTTCCAGTTCCTTTTTCTTGCTCATTAGCTTCTTTCCTTTCATGAGCAACAGTCACCAATTATAGTTTCATTTTATGCACTTGCAGTTGTAAGGCTTATGGGTCGTGCAGCTTCCCACATTACCCTTGAATGTGCTTTACAAACACACCCAAATATTACCATTATTGGAGAAGAGGTATCTTATTGCTTCTCTTATGCTTGCCTGGTATAAATGCTTGGTGAAGTTGTCATTTTTATTTTTCCAGGACAAATATGTGTGAGTCAATTTTCGTCTTTGCTATTACTATCATGATAATTTTATTTCTGAGCTATTGAAAAATGATTCTCAAAATATTTATCACGCATTCCATGGAGAATGCATGAAAGGAATGTAAGAACTGTTGCAATTATGCATTGAGGTATGCTTATGATGGAGTACGTAGAAGAAAGGTTTGCTGCAAAACGTTTTGCTTGCCAATCACCCTAGCTAGGAACTTGTAGAATGCTTGGAAGCACTACTCCTAATATTTCTTTACAACTATTTGATAGGAGTGGAGTATCTTTCTCCATGGATTATTTTGAAACAAAAATTGGATATAACTCAGTTAGATTTATATAATATATGTTCTAAATTCTTAGATGTATTGGATGTTAAGTGCTGCAGCTTCGCAGTAATCTTCTATAACTTGCCTTGGTGGTGCAATGTAGTCATGGGAATCTGAGATTTTGGCTCAAGGGATCATTCCCACCTTATGCAGGTTCCAGTTTCATTATTTTATTCTTTTTTTTGCAGGTTTATGCAAAGAAGCAGACATTGAAAAATGTTACAGATTACATGGTCGATGTTATCTGTAAACGTGCTGAATTTGGTTATAATTATGGTGTCGTTCTTATTCCTGAAGGTTTAATTGATTTCATTCCTGAGGTATGGTTATCAATCAGAGAGAAGTTCTTTTGCAGAGAATCAGAGGAAGATCTTTATTTCTTCTTCTCGATAATTGTGATAACATGTCCTGCCATTTACATACAAAGTTTGTTACTTGCCAACTGATGTATTCCTCTCTATTCTATGTTCACAGGTGCAGCAGCTTATTGCAGAGCTTAACGAAATCCTGGCCCATTATGTTGTTGATGAAGGCGCACTGTGGAAAAAGAAACTAACAAGCCAGTCTCTGCAGCTCTTTGAGTTCTTGCCTCAAACAATTCAGGAACAATTGATGCTTGAAAGGGATCCACATGGAAATGTGCAGGTACTTTTTTTACTATTGTTTTAATATTCATGTAATTGTAGCAATGCCAATTTGCCTTGTTTGTGTTACACATTGATTTCTGCCATTAGGTTGCTAAAATAGAGACGGAGAAAATGCTTATTCAAATGGTTGAGACTGAACTGGAGAAGAGGAAGAAGGAAGGTACATACAAAGGAGAATTTAAGGGCCAGTCACACTTCTTTGGGTATGAAAAAAGCTATATTTCTTTGTAACAAGTAGTAAAGGAAACAAGTAATCATGTTATGTTTATCTTTTTCTTGATGGAGATCACTTAACATTAACCATTCACTTTTTCCTTGCTCAATTTTTTTTACAAAATGCACGAAGAACGATTCTTTCAAATTCATTTCCCTGGCTTTGTGGTGGGTTATTTCGAATATGCAGGTACGAAGGCAGATGTGGTTTGCCCACCAATTTTGATGCTAACTACTGTTATGCGTTGGGTTATGGAGCCGGAGTGCTTCTCCATAGTGGAAAGACTGGGTTGATTTCATCGGTTTGTACTTCTAGCACGTGCTTTGTTTTTGGCCTGCTGTCAATAGTCCTTGACCTTCTCAATGGTAAAAGTAACATTTTCCAAAGACTTGACCATCTTTGTTTACTTTTTATAATGCATCCAGGTAGGAAATTTGGCTGCTCCAGTTGCAGACTGGACAGTTGGTGGCACAGCATTGACATCATTGATGGATGTGGAGAGGAGACATGGTAAGTAACTCGTGGTTTTGTAAGCGTAAAGCAGATGCTATCTGCTAATTTTCTGTAGTCTCCTCGTGATTCCAAGTTTGTGTTTGACTTACCCATTACCATCAAACATTCTTGTATGCCTGTGCTTTTGATGGTTTTCAAGTGAATACAATAAGTTTAGCAATGAGTTACAAATGTTTCAACCACTATGTGAAGAGTGTGGGCCATGACATTTTGCAGGTAAGTTTAAGCCTGTGATCAAGAAGGCAATGGTGGAACTTGAAGGTAAAAAAGCCCGACTTTGCCTTTTACAGAAGTAGTGCAATAGTCATTGCATCTTGTTCTTTCAGCATTTTAACCATAAATATCATCTCCTTCATCTTAACTTCAGCAGAACTTTTAATTACCAAGTGATTTACCATGATGAATTTCAGGTGCACCATTCAAGAAATTTGCGTCCGTGCGAGAGGAATGGGGCCTCAAGAATCGTTACATTAGTCCCGGTATGTTATGGATTTGATAGTTACCACCTTAATTTTGTCAATTTTGTTGCGCATCCACTTACCCATATCTTTCTTTTCCATGACCAAGTTATCAGAACTTCTTTCCCCTGTCAAATTTCTCTGTTCCGAAGCTTTTCTCTCATATTTAATTTGCATCTTTATTTTTGTCACAGGTCCCATTCAGTTTAGTGGTGCAGGATCAAATGCAGTCAACCACACTCTGCTCCTTGAACTTGGAGCTCAAGCTGCTTGAGCATATGTAAGTTAGCGGCCTCGACTATCGTTCATGCCTTGAGAAAAAACCCAAAACTTAATCTACTCTGTTTCCCAAAATCTTACTTTCTCTTATTTTTGACCTTCTTTTGATCTTTTCGGAAAAAAGTCTGTATATGAGATGGCGTAACAGTTTTATTCAAGAGAGCTCAGTTTTCGATCTAATAATAGCTCTTGTCGTTCATGGTGTATGGGTTCATTGCCTATTCTAATAGTCTAGTTGTTCTTTCCTTCATTTTACTGAGTGTCTTTAAGATTGGCTTAGTCTAATAGTCTGGTTGCATCTTCATTAAATCATCTTTTTTTTTTTCAAACAAAGTATACATATGATCTCATTTCCTAAGCTAGGCTGACAGGCAAGGAAGATTGTTTTACATTCCTCCCCTGCCCAATGTTCATTTCACCCAACCGATGGTATTGTTCTTCACACTCAATTCTGATATCGGTCAGTAGTTCACATAGTAAACTTGTTTCTTTTTTTGGCTCCGCTAATTATATTGTTGCTCTTAATATGATTCATTATGTCCAATGAAAATGCTTTCATGGCTTTAGTTTCTGAACTCGATCTTCCTTGTCGTTACCAGCTTATTTTGATGCTAACTGGGGCGGTTATCTTCCTAATAGAGCTTCTGCTGCTAGAAATTTTTCTTTCTTCTGGTGGATTATCCGATCTCTTGGTGAAGCAAGAACTAGGATGTCCATTTTCTTTCAAAGTCATAACTGATACAACCCATAAACTTATCTAGCTTAGGCGGTCAATAACAAATACTGCTGTTGCTCAATCCAGTTCCGCCACTCTTCGTCCTGTCAATTGAAGTAAAATCCAAATTGCACCCAATGTTTTTTTCATGAGGAATCCAAATACTCGAGACTTGTCGTCCCATGGTGGCACCTTAGCTTGTTTCGTTTACTAATTTAACTTCTTGATAATTTCATGAAAATCTATCTTCCCCAGTTCTTTGTTGATTTAGTATCCAATTGCTTCATTTAGTAATCAACTGTCTTTGATATTTTTGACGAAAATCTACCTTCCTAAGCTCTTTCTCTATTTAATGTCCAAATACAAGATGGTTTATTTTGGAACCATCTTGGATTGAGGGTATGTTACGCTCTATGGCAATTATTGGTGAATTATTGCAATTTGGGCGCAATTACAATAATAGTGATTAGCATTATTAATTTAATATCTCATTTATTAGGGGATCTTTTACAGTGTTTACTGGTTGGTGGTTATGTAATTGTCTTTTCCATTTATATATCGTGATTAATAGGACTGGTTACCTTCCCTCTCTTCTGATATATTTATCATATAATAATATATTTTATAACTCTCTAGTTAAAGTTTTGTAACATATTTGGCTGTCTTTCGATTTTCTAAATAATTATTTTGTATATTATTCCATTTTCTTTTTAAAGTCAGGAATAAAACATTAGTTTTTTCACAAATATATGACGGTATAATTATTTTTTCAAATAAACAATTTTAATATTTAAATAATTTACGTTTTAAGTGCCCAAAATATTCAGCTGGAATTATCTTTACACTTGAATTGTATTTTATTGGAAACAAACAAAAATTTATGCTTATTACGTCACTCGTATTGAAGCATGACGGAAAAAATCTCATATTTTGTCAAATAAAATTTTTAAAAATAATAATAATAATGATTAAAGATATATTAATCCAAGCGAATGAGTCCCAAAGAAGATACTTAATTCACAAAAAAGTGAAAATGAAATTACAAGGAACAAGAAAGATGTGGTAAGAGTAGCAGGTTAACGTCACATCTTAACAACCAACCCAGATTGCAAGCAGACAATCATAATAACAACAATGACTTTGCAAATAAATAAAGTTCACATCAGTAAAACTGTAAAAAAAAATTAATTAATTAAAAAAGTAAAATTACTTTTTCTTCAAAATTTATTATACTATACGAAAATATTTCTATTTCTTAAAATTTCAGATAAATTAAAATTTTTGCTCTTTGTACTATTAACTTTTGTTTAAATTAATTTTTATTTTACCTCAAATTAATCTTTACACTTTTTAAAAATTTATCAATTTAATTTTTCAATGTTATCACCCATTATCGGATGTCATGTATCAAATTTGATAACATACGTTATATTTTAATTAGTTCGAAGTTTATTTTAAATATTACATAATATTTTTTTAATATTTGAAACAAATTAACTAAAAATTTTAGCCGGTTCATTTTATTCAAGATTCTATAATTTTTTTTCTTCGTTTAATAATACATTCTACAATAATATTACGAAAATGTCTAAAAAGATAGGCAACTATCATAATTTATTGTATTTGTTTTTTCATAAGCAATAATATCTTATGGCATCTTTTGTCGTAGTTCCACCCGGTTGTAATCTTTCGTCGTTTTTATTATATTTTTTATTATTTTAATTATTATTATTATATCTTTTATTTTTTTATGTTTGTGAATTAATTTTATTTTTTTATTATTATAAATTCATATATTATCTTGTATTTAAAAATTATAATTAAAGTTAAAATAAATTAATATTTATGAATACAAATTATATAAAATACACAATAACAATTAATAATGACAAAAAAATAATAGTTGTCAAAATCATGAGAGATATAGAAGATAAAATGGAGAAGCTCAAGGCCTTGTGCTTGGTGCTGTGTAGGCCACATGAAAAACCCAATAAAAAAATCATGTTGAAAAAAGTGGTGTGTCTCATCCATGTTTACTTTGTAAATTTATTGGGTTCTGAACTTTGAGTTCTAGTGATAATGGATTTAGTGTGGGGCCCACAATCTTGTATCTTCCAATTAATTATTCTCACTTTTTTTTCTTAATTTGGGTGAAAACAAAATTGTTAATTTCAATTTTTTAGTAATTTACTATTAAGTCATACATGAAATATGAATATATATATATATACATGTAACTATATATTTTTTACAACTTTGATTTTGTTATTGTACTTTTTTTTCTAGGGGAATGAAAACCAATGAAGATAATCACGAGAATAACACCCTGATTGGATAATTTTTAGTAATGGTTAATTAATGTGTGGTAATTGCAGTAATTGGATGACAATAACACAAGATGAAGATGACAAATTTTTTTTATATTTAAATGATTGTATATTAATATATGTTAATGATATATTTTTATTTGAATGATATGATATTATTGTAACAGTTCCAGAAATTTAAAATGAAATGTATATTAAAAATATCAAATGCAGAAGCGAAGTCAAAATTCGAATAATATCTCTTACACTAAAACCAAAAACGTGCTCACAAAATACAAAAGGTCAAACTACCTAAAGGAGAAACTTGAAAGTAAAAGCTACGAATATGACTATGGAGTCTTTAGGCGTCCCATTCGTCGTCCTCCTGCAGAACCGGCTCAGGAACGATGTACTCTTGATCTGAAATGATTAAATAAGGAATGAGCTACACTAGCCCAGTAAAGACATCACGATATCTCACCGTCACGGAGGTAAAGGTGGGTAGAAAACACAAAAAGACCAATGGAGCATAATTTACAACAAATTCTTTTATCAATAATAAATCCTTCACTATCCACTTATCTCGATGGAATCCATAAAACAGTATACGAAAGCAATAACATTATCATCATCATAAAATCATATATGAACTGTATAACATAATACTTATCAAGTCTTTTGTAATTCAATCGTTACACAACATATTTTTCCTCTTTTACCAGCCCACTAGTATCCATGGGGATCCATAGGGGTCCCGCTACCCGTTAACCCTTAACACTTAAAATCATATTCCAGGGCCGTCCCCATACCCCGTCCAGTATGGGCGCCAAAAGTATAAACCTCATTACCCCGTCCGGTATGAGGGTGAAACGGGCCGTCCCCATACCTCGTCCGGTATGGGCGCCAAAACACATAAGATCTCCATACCCCGTCCGGTATGGGAGACCACAATCCCGATAGGGTTCCCTACGGACCCGGTCCGTCCACCATCTCCCAGGATATCTAGTCAGGCTGACCACATTATACAATTACCCATTTACA